CGGGAGCAGAGCTCCTAAAAACATGAAAGGACAACTGGGGTCTGCCGAGTCAAGCAGCCAGTTTTACACAAACTTCATCAGAAGGAACAGAGTCAAGCCTAAACGTCACATTAAAATCGCTCCTGATGCGCGTCTTCAAAAAGATCTATTTCACCGTTAATCAGCTGGTCTGAATTTCGTTTTTGCCCTTTAGTGGAGTTTCGCCTTCTGTTTCGTTCATGGGTTGGGTTTTTGTTTGTCCCTTGTTGGGTGTTTTTGGGTTTTATCACAAAGTTGGAGCGCTTGCACTCCAAGCATTCCAACGAAACGCTTGCCTCTGCATTTTACTTGACATTACAGGAGGAAAATAAGTATTTTTTTTCAAATAATAGGTTTTGTAAGTTTTATTTTTATTAAGACACAAAAATCCTAGAGTACTGGGCCTAGACTGCAAGACAATATCCTTTTAAATCCAGACTTGTACAGCTCTGCAAGATCAAGTCACTTCTATTTCACTGGAATGAAATACAGGAAAAAACAGTATAGAAAAAAATCTCTGACAACGTTAAAATTTCCCCTCTCTAGTACAGGGTGTGCCTTTCCCACCACACGCTACATTACTGGGTGGAAGGATAGTTAAAAACATATTTGTTTTAAGAACGATTGGAGAGCTATTTCATAAGAGCACAAACAAATTGTCTCGTGCGTGGTTATAGCGAGATACGCACCTGGGTCATGAACGGCATTCCAAGCACTTGCTCAAAAACACACAAGGCAAGCAAATCTCATTGGGACCACAGACCAAGCCGTTTCTTACTTAAAAGGAGAGCTAATAACTTCCTTCGAGGATATACTATTTTAAACATCTGTTGGTTGACAAATACTACCTCAAAACCCCTATGTTTACGCCTACCTGGTTGGATTTTAACCTACCTCCAATCTGAAAGTATTCTGGAGGGAACCTTTTACATTCGTAACAAATTCAAGTGTAACTGTAATGCTGAGTAATAAGTTTGGTTTGTCCTGAAATTTTCTGAACTATGCAGTTCATTATCAGTGCAGAAGCAGCAGCAGACTGCTGAGGTTGGCTCAGTGGATTTACAAAAACAGAAACAAAACAAAACAATCCCCCCTCCCCCCCGACGTAACCTTTACAGAATATATGTAAAATTGTGTCCTTCCCTGGTCGTATTCACAACTTATCTACAAGATAGTGTTGGCAGTAGCAACTGCAGTCCACGGCTATTTGCATTCGGCTCTCATCCATCTGTTCCTCTGCTTCCTCCTGGGCTTCAACTTGTTCAGTTTTTTGCGGGGTTTCTCCGTCTTGGGAGTTTCAACAGAATCCACCCCGGGAACGTGTTCAGAGCAGCATAAGTGTCCATTCAACGTAGAGTTTAGTACTGTCCCGTCTTGGTGTTCCTTGCAGAAAGAATTTGGGCAGAAGTGGCAGAAAGAAACAGAAGGTTTGCCACAGACATCACAGTGGTGCCAAGGACACTCCCACTTCCCTGCGATCAAAACCAAAGAGCGCGTTAGTGGGGAGTTAAAACTAGAAGAAATTACTCAGGCCTTACTCAGTGGCGTCTTACAGAACTTGCAGGCTGGCGGAGTATCCCAACACCCCGTGTCCTGCTGCCTCCCGTTACAACGCCCACCCATTCACAGCAAGTTTTGCTGAGGGCTGGCCAGTGAGCTTCACCGACAGACGCTCTCCTGCCCCAATGCGTTTTACCAGACGCTGTTTCACTCGTTTCTGGGATAACAGGCTTTGCCTGCTTCACCTCTTCACATCCCACCTGACGTGCCTGACTGGAACCAGGCAGCTCCTGCGGTATCTGGGACTGCAACCTGGTGTCTGCCGCCCTGAACGTTCTCCCGCCTGCCTTGTTCCAGATGCCGCTGCTATCCTTTTGGCTTGAACTCAGCTGGCCTCCTGCCTGCCTTAGACATAATCAACCTCCCAGGGACAGGGCCCCCGTGCTCCTGCCCAGCGATGCGCTCAACTGCCTACGTTTGTAAAGCAGAAGGCTCGCTGGGCTGGAGAGGCAGGAGGAAGGTCATTCCTTGTCTCCATATGCAAGAAGAGCTCCTGCGTGACGCACGAACAAAGCTCTCCCCATAGGAAACCCCTCTTTTCCAGCTGACACTCCCGACACAGTTTCAGGGCAATAAATGAGGTACCCGCACAAGTTATTCACTCACACAGGGTTAAGAGGCAAACTGACTCACCAAAAGGACGTTTCACCAAACCAAGACAGGAGAGGTGGTATGCTTTAGTACAGGATTTCCTGTCGCACAACACCAGCTGGCCTCCATCACCACAACGGAAACAATCATCTTCAGATTCTTTCTTCCCTTCATTTTTCGTTCTGCGTCTCCGTGTTCTCTTTTTGGTCTTTTTGCCTTTTTCTTCTGAGGCATTAGTGGAAGAATTCTAAAAGACCAGGATGCAGATCTGTGAGCTCCAGTTTTGCAAAGGAAAACACAGCCTAGCAAAACTGCTGGCACGCCTGGCAGACCGTGCACCCAGGCAAAAATCTGACTCGGTGCAGACCTGTCCAGTGCCTCCCCGTACCTACCTGTCAACAAAAAAAATCACACTGACCCTTGTCCTACCGAAACCGGATCTGCTCCCTACAGTTCCTTCCTACTGGAAAGCTCTTCTGCCTTCTGATCACTGAAAAAGCTATTCCAATTTCCAGTCTATTCTACTTGGGTTAATTTACCACCACTGTGCTCTTGCACCACCGATGGCTTCAGTACTCGTCTTTCTCTTCCAGCTGTGTATGCTCGTGCTGGAATGACTACAACCAGTCTCCACTGCGCTTTGAGGAACGGCCAGCAGAACTTCAAGAACTGTACCTGTGCCCGTAATGCCAGAAAGAGCACACCGAACCTTATCCCCACTTCCACCTGACATCCTGCTGCTTGCACTTCAACTCTCCTTCACCAAATCATATCCAATTCATTCTGGATGTCTTTTCAACATCCCTACCACCACTCCCTCCCTCTTATCCCACTAATCATTACCTGCTCTCCTTAAAATTAGCCCATTCTGCCTACCAAATGTAGGCAGCCCCGCAAAACTGAACTGCCACATTGCGTTTCTTCGTGGCTGTCTCTGTAAATCCATTATGTGAAACCTTCCCTAAGCCTGTCCCTCCACGAACACCCGCTACTCAAGAGTCTGGAGATTTTATATCCACCCTCTGAAGTGCCCGATGCTGCACAGTGTGAAGGACCACTTCAAGATGCAGCCTTCCTACATCCACAGGCGGGATTTATTTTTCTCTTGGGAATGCACTTGTGCCTTCCTTGCACTCCTGTGCCAGCCCCACCAACTTCTGCTGGATTACAGGTTTGAAATTAACCTGACACGAATTACGCAGGTCGTGTCTTAATGTCATCTGGTATCTATTTTTCCTCATTTAAAACTCACATTTTTTTGTTCTTCAATTCAACTGATTTTTTTTTTTTTAAGGCTTAAAAATGTGCCATATTTAAGGTTTACATGGGGGAAATAAACTTAAATGTCAGAATAAGCTCACTGACTTACAGTTAGGCTCATTCTTAGTTCCTAGCTCCTACAACCCTTCCCCTTCTCACACTTCAAACAGGACTGGCAACCCCTCTTCTTACATGCTTTTGATTCCAGAAGCTAGTGCCAGTAGCTAGCACTATTTCTCATTCAGGACCCAAAGTAATTAATTTCTCATAGGAGAAAGTGGAAGAAAATATTTTACCGTGTTCCCAAACTCAGTATTGCCTGCTGTACTATTACAACTTAAAATGTATTCTTTAGCACCGAGGGGTGTTTGGCAAAAGAACGTTTTCTTCTTCCCAGCAAGGGAAACAGTAAGCTTTCTCCTCCGAGGACAGCCAGCATCTCTTCCAGCAGCATCAACCCTCATCGTAACATAACCATGTCCACCAACACGCACCCCAGAAGAAAAAAACAAGGCTACAAGACACTGTCAAAATCTCTTGATGTATTACTTGCCTTTGGTCTGTCCCCAAGAAATCCACTGCAGTTTGGGGCACCACATTTGCAGACTGTTTTTTCATTGCCCAGACAGTCAAGGTTGTAATTAAAAGTCAGCTCTGTCCCTGGGTGAGATAAGACATACCCTTTGCATCATGAAGGACAAGTTAATGAAGTCTATCAAATTTATTACAAATAAACAAATGTTTCATCATCTGTCTTCTGGTTTTGTACTTGCTTGCTGATCTGTTATCACAAGATTCCCCCCTCTTTACTGCTTATAAGCACTGACAGTGATTAACTGAAGTACAGCACAATGTCTTCTGTAGTTACATTTTAAAATAAATTGGTTTGACTTCACAAAACTGTTCAGGTTCTGGTCTACACACACATGCTCTGTATCTAAATCTATATGTCTATAGCTATAGGGCTAGATATAGATAGATGTGTGTGTGTATGCATATGTGTACACTCCTTAAGCTTATTATCTTCACTTGAAAAGACACAGAAGTTCTGCTTGAGATCTCAAACCCAAGAACTCTGCTCTCCAAGATGAAGGGAATGCAAGGATACCAACTAAGGCCTCTGAGGTGTTTCCTTAGAAGAAAGCAACACAAAGCAGCCAGGGGACTCACTACTAAGAAACATCAAAGTAAAAGGCATCTCTTCTCTGTGCCGAGTTCTCTACAAAAATACCTGCACTGAATCAGTTTAAACCACGACCGTCCCCCTCGTAACGGCGCAACAGGTTTAACTTAGGGAATGAAACCAAAGCCAACGGAAACAGATGTACCTGCAGGAATATCGCAGACAGCAAAGAGCCCGACACGAGTGTCTCCATTTACTGTCCATTTTAGAGTTTCACAATTTGGTTGGCAGCTGTGATTCATAAACCGGGAATAGTTTCCTTTGGGGCCAGCATCAATAATACGGTCCTGGAGATCAAACCAGCGACAGAATGAAAGTTTTTTCTCCACCCTTCTCACAAAAAGAACCCCAAAGATAAATTACTTCAGCAGTTGCATTCGGATGGACATGGTGTTGCTACCCAGAAGCACACAAGCAAACCAAGGGTATGTGTTGTATTGAAAACTGTAGTGTCTCATGTGGCCTGGAATGCGACACTCCCAAAGCAATACTCTGCTCTCGCTCACATTTCCCAGAACCCATCGCAGCCACGCAGCAGGACAGGTGTTCTTGTGAGCACCGTGGTGGTGAAGAACCCCTTCCCCTCCACAAAGCCTCAGAACTCAAACCCACTCCATTTACCTGTTACTCTGCATGCACAAAGCTGTGACGCACTTACAAATACCGTGCGTTACGGTTTTTGCCAAGTCACTGCATGATTACCTGCAGAGATTAACAGTTTCTTACCAGCTTTCTTTCCCCCAATCAGCCCAGTTTTAACAAAAACAAGCTCTTGGTAAACTAAAAAAATTCCATCCCTACACACAATTGCCTTCTCATTTCTATCTCCAGCAAGCATACCAGACGTGCACAGAATAAAATGAAACCTTGAAATAGCCAGAAACGTGTTTCTTTGCAGAGCTGCTTAAGAAAGCTTTGCTTATTTATGAACTATTATTACAGGTTCCTTCTAACTCATTTTTGATAATGCACATGTGTGATTGTCAGCCACTCCTAAGTAGCTGCTTGGGGACTGAAGCAATATAATATGTATATAGAATCAATGCTCCCTACTGTCCGGGTTCTCCACTTTCTTCCCCTTCTCAGGAACAAAACACTCAGAGATGTGCACAGAGAACCACAGATGCCAGATTAATTTGCTGCGTTAATTAATCTGCTGGATTAATTTCCTGCAGAATCCATTTGTGGAATGCTGGCTGGCTACTAATGCAGATAGTGCTTTCAGAAAAAGAGTTTCTACAGAAGCACAAGCCTAGTTCTGTTGCAAACAAAGAAAGGCACCGAGAGTTGCAAGAAAATATTAAATGCCCAATATAGGACATAGCCTCACAACTATATTCCACAAACTGAAAGTGGGTTTTTTGTTGTTGGAATTTTAGCATAAGGATTGCTAACAGTAATTCTTTCAACTGTATCATTACTCAAAAAAATACTTCCTTTTCAGACTAGGCAGATAAATGCTTTTGCTGTACTTGGTTTCAAGCAACAAAGCACAATTTATAGACCTTAATATATACTTTATTAAAATACACAGTTAAAACTAATGAGATACATCCTGTATATCGAATGGAGCAAGCAGGCACAGAAGATACAACACTGAGAATATATGAAATTGGACCATCAAAGGTAGTAGAGCGCCTACCAAGGTGATCAACGGAAGGAAAAGGGATCAAAGTAAGGTTATAATTAAATAATGGGGGGGGAGGGGGGGAAAACCAAACCACGAACAGTGAAAGACTCTACCTTATCAATAGTGAGCATATAGAAGTGGGTAATGTCGTTTTCATGTGCGTATTTGATTCTTGCCATACACTCCTCTTCATCAATCAGTTCACCGACGTACTCATTGACAAACTCTCCCTGAAAGGTACCAAGTATCACTAGTAAAGTATATACCAATCCCACAAACAACATCACAAGCCATCGATTCTTTACCAGGCAAGAATGATTCATACCTTTTTGATGTCCCTCTTGGCGACCAGACCCCACCCCTTCCCATCGGTTTTGATGATCTTTGTCTCAGGGTACTGACGTTTTGTAAAGCACTGGTTTTGGCACCGTTCTCCCGCTGGACAAACTTGTGGATGGCATTCGTACATCAGCATCCGATTCAGGCACTCCGAATCAAAGCCACAAGGGTTTTCATCTGTGGGTTTGCAGTTGCACTTGGGAATCTCAGAAATGTCAGCAGTATATATCTGCACTTTACCACAAGGTTTATTCACCTGAATAATACATTAAAATAGTTCAAACGTCACTTTAAAACATTTGAGTTTATTCTAAGAGTCATTACGGTGGTTATTAGTTCGGTTTTGCGACACTAGATGTTCCAATGGAGGCAAAATCTCATCACCTCGTGACTCTAAAAGCACAATTACCAGCACATCATTACAACCTCCCCTCCCCGTCTCACCACTCAGCTCCTCCTCTCCAGTGCTGGCTCAGACCTTTGAGTATCCAGTCTCATTTCCTCAAATTATTTACCTTAATATGCTTGTATGGTGGAGGTTTACGTTCACTTTCTTGGGTTTCTTTGGCTTCTCGCTGCAGCTTTATTTCTCGAAATCGAGCTTCAGCTTCTTGCAAAGCTAAAAAAGATTGTTGTATAAACAGAAATGCCAGAAAGAGGATGACTCCCCACCCAGGTTGACCTGTTCACTCCCATGTATGTTTAAACAAAGAATCTTCTTCTACTTCCTAGTCTGAGCATTCAATTTTCTTGCAAACAATGCTTCTGGAGTGTTAATGCTCTTAACGTATGTATCAATTCTACCCTTTCTGTCTCGCAGTTACACTCATAATTTCCTTTCCGGAAAGGAAAAATCACCAGAAATAATTCCATTTAGATGGTAGTCTCGTAGAAGCCATGAAAACAATGCTTTCATGGCAAGTTTAATAACAGCGACTGCGGCCCAGGACACCAAAGCAATCTTTTAAATTCAATACTGTAAACCAAAGGTACAAAACCAGACCCAAGGCTATGTGTGAGGAAAGTAAAGCACGCTTATCCTAAGATTGTTTTTCTTCTACTTTTAGCTCTGTACCATTTTTGAAGACTTTTCCAATTCCTTTGATCCCCTGGTATCTGCTCCCTCTGTCTCCCTCCATATAAGGGAACACCCGTGCTTGGTGTGTCCAATAGTAATCCTTAGAACCAAAGAAAAACACAGGAAATTCTCCGATTTCATGCTTCATTTTCTGTATATTTGGGGGGACGTTTTTTGGATGGCAAACTTCTGCAGGCCACCATCTAGCACAGAAGTACAAATAAAAAAAGATACAGCGTTTTAGTCAAGCTCTTTCTGCAAGAGACAGTTTAACAAAATCACCCTAAATACCAGTAACTGATTATTATTCTTTCCAAGATCCTTGTGGATTTCAAACCCTTTCCTCCCCCCACTCACTAGGCACTGAGAGAAGACAGGATGGGAAAAGGAAAAGCCCAAATCTGCGGGACTTTTGCCTGCTTGCAAGATACACATAAAGCTCCTTGCATCTTGTTAGCAAAAATACCATGTTTAACAAGTCCTGCAATCACTGTAATTGTCAAAGATCAAGAGACAGATGATAATAGCTACTAGCGCTTTGTAGGATAAACCCCACCCACCTCTATCTCACTCAAATCTCAGCGAGGTGTAAACCACTGACAACCCAAGTGACTTATCTCCCAGGCTGCAAGGTAGCAATTTAGCCAATTACAACTGATACCAGCTTAATTATCTGCAGAGATCTCTGCAACAAAAGGGGTTTGAAGGCTCATACACTGGAAGCAGATATCAGAAGGCTACAAAGAGTCCTGTATGGGCAATGCCTTGGCCCGGGGCAACAGTGAAGCTACAAATCTTTGAACTTGAAGCTTGCAAGGAGATGGGCTCCCCGGTTCAGAGAGGAAGGAGGAATCTGGAGCAAGATGAGCCAGCAAGGCTGGCCTATAGAAGCACATGGTTGTACAATCCTTAATGCAGTAAACCAAAATAAATCCATTCACCAGACCTGTAATTTCCCAGTTTAACCCAAATGATATCCTGGAAATGGAGCTTCTTCCCCGCCCTGCAGTCATTGCAGTACCAGCTCCCATCTGGCATTTCAATGTTTAAACAGTCTGGGTGAAAGGCTGCAGGACATGACTCGCAGCACAACAAGCTTCCTCCTTCAGGGAGAAAAACAACAACAACAAAAAAGGTTGAAAAACATCAAGAGAAAAAAAAAAAGTTTTGCATTCCAACCAGGCTCAGAGCAGCACAATACATGTGTGGTAGGTACAGTTGGAAAATAAATGGTTAAAACATGCTGGCCTGCAACAAATACGTATTGTTTAGTTGGGTACAAAACCCAAAAGGTCCACACTCATTTGAGTGCCTGGCAGGCTCGGGTTAGTAATACATACAAAATAACAAGCAAGCTAGTGATAATAAAGCCAGAATAATGCACTGCAAATTAAAATTACTTTGTTTTCCTTTAATGAGTGCAATATATTTAACATGGGTATGCAAGGTTTTAACCACAGCAGATTTCTCTTATGGTTATTTTTTTCTGGGGGGGGAGAAGGAATGAAGTTGTTGTTTTGTGCCATGAATTATCAAGTGGAAAGTTAGCTGCAGCTTAAAAGCTGCTATGCTGCATGTTAATTTGTTAACAAATCAGGTGAACTTTCACTGCTACAGTTTAATCAGCACTATGCATTCTGTGGTTCTCAATAAGAAATAAAATCATTGTACAACATAAAACAAAACACCCTTAATTAGTGGCACTCCCAGCAACAACTAATACCGATTCAATTTGCTGTCTGCTGCTAAACTAAAAGCAACTGTTAAAATATTTATGTTTCAGTGTTACGTATCAGCAATAAACAAACACAAAAAGCTTCAGTGCACTGAACGCAGGGGAAAGAACAGAGAAATATTTCTCATTACGTGTCTCTGGTAAAGAATTAAATCAGGCTTCTGGTTGCTGGACGAAGGCCAAGTAACAACATGATTTAGTAAATTGTATCTGCAAAAAAAGGATACTCAAAAACGTGAAGCAGCAGAAGCCAAGCTGAAGTTAATTCAATACCTAACAGAGCCTAAGTTAATGTGCCACATTTCTAATAACTTTCTATAAACAGATTAGTAAAATCAAATTTAAATAGAAGAACAAAACGTTTTCAAGCTGCATTTATGAAAGAGTG